AAAACAATATTTTGAGAGACCTTTGGTGGAGGATGAACCTATAAAAGACCAGGTTCCTACTTTATATGACATATTATTATACAAAAACATATTGAGAACAGGCTAGATTGGGAGTTGGGTATTAAGAGAGGATTGAAGGGAAATAAATTTCCTGAGGCTCTTTCATTTGTGAAATCTTTGGAGGCTGCCTGTTTCAATCCTTCTTAGGACTGTAGGATTTGGGTTTCTTCTTCCCTAGGCTTATTCACTTTTTCCTCATTCTTTAAAACATTATCCTTCATTCCTAATTTGTCACCTTTCCCTATGAAAGCAATATAGGGTGGACCAGTTCTGCCAAAGGTGAGGGCTTTCTGTTGGGAGATAATTCACAAGAAAATAAATACTTACGAGAATAGGAAAGAAAAACTTTTCTGTGCATATACCGTACATATGTTTTCTTTGTAGTTTGTAACGCAAGCTACAAATCCACTTAAAATTACTAATCTCCTGTCTTTTGTGGCAAAAATTTGCATTTTATTCTTTTCCCTATCTGGTTACAAGTGGAATCCTCCAATGGACGTGAAAAGTTTGTTTAACAAAGTTTTCTTCTTTCCGCATAACAAGGGAATGACACCATGGAGGCGTAATAATCGGAAGTATAGGAAGAAAGGAATGCTAGAACTTTTAAAGGTAAATACTAGACAACAGAAGCTCTTATTGAGACCATATCAGTAAGGATAGCTCATTGGTGATAACTCTAATGTGTTTCAGCATTTCTCTATTTATCATCGTTGTCGTCTAAGCCTTATCCAGTTATCCCAACTAAACATATGTCATCATTTCTCTATTAATGACATTATTTGAAATTGGCAGAATGTAGATTCCTCATTCCTAATGTTAAATAGTTATGGTCCTTGGCTTCCCCTAGCTACTAATTATATCAAGTTCTTTTTTGAGAAAGGTAATTGTATTAAAAAAAGGGAACGATGTAAATAAGAGATGTATGAAAGGCCTCAAAGACAAAAAGAAGGCCTGGAACAATAAATTAAGCATTGAATCAGAAGTACACAAAATATTTCTTTCCAAACCTAACTTTGCTAAACCATTTGTTGCATGATTAAGCTCATGGGGGATCCATCTGAAATAACAATTCAGAGAGGACGATAGTTCATGAACCTCTGACAAAAGGTGAGCAATCCTCCACGATCCTTCTTTCGTGCCTTTAGCCCACTTGATGGTGTTTCCAGAATCACTGTCAACAGCTAAGAGGCTAAAGTGTAATCTATTAACAGTCCTTAAGCCTTCCAGAAGGGAGTGGGTCTCTGCTTCAGAAGCATCTGCGGCTGTTACTGGGCCACTACAAACCCACAAATTTCCATTTAAGTTCCAGATGATGACACCAATTCCTGCTGCTGGGGAGGGAGGGGGGGGGGTAGCTACTGCAGGGGAAGGAGCCAGGGATTTGAACAGAATCTCCTGCCAATTCCTTTGTAAGTCACCTCTGTTAAAGACTGAGAACAGCTTATTGGACAGCATTCAGGAGAAAATTAAAGTCAAGATCTTCTCTCTTACACTTTCCAAAGGGGAACATCTGTCTTCAAATAATCTTCTTTCTTTCTTCCCAAATTCTACACATCACAGTGTGAATGACAGCTTTCCAAAAGATTTTTCCTCTTTTTCCCAGTCTAGAGTTGTGCCATTGAGCAATGAAGTCACAAATTATATTTGGGGGAGTCCCAACTATAGCTGCCCTCATAAGTTGAATCCAGAAAAAAATTGCCACAGGTTTCTTGCAAAGCAGCAGTTGATTAAGAGGTATCCTATCAATTCCCTATCCACAAAGCATAAGACATAAACATGGGGAGAGATGCACCGCTTTCCCTAAAACTTCTTTTGCAAGACATCACAAGTGTTCAATTTGCAACAAGCTGCCTCCCAAATAAAAAAGACAATTCTAGGGGGAACAGAAGACAGCCAAAGGCTGAGGATACTTGCAAGGTTGTTATGGAGATTACAGAAAAGTTCTTGAAAGAGGTTACAGGATGAAAGCCAGATAGGGACGGGCAACGAAGGATGAAGATGCACAAGATTACGGGCGAAAAAGGATTCAGGGTGGTTGGGGCCTGGAGACGACCAGTAGAAGTGGAAGCAAAAAAATTCTTTTTTGAAGAATGGAGCCATGGAGGAATGCTGGCCACTGGACGTTGAAGGAGGGAGGGGAAGAGAGCGACGGTGCTCATAGAAGAAGATGCAGTGTTCAATGTTTTCTGTCATACAGATTGGATGGAAGAGTCAGTTGATAGTAGATAGGAACACTTTCGAAGTCATGTATTTGCAAGGCTAAAAGGTGCTTCATTTGGCATTGGGCCTAACAAGGTAGTAAGAAAACATAAAAATGTAATCAGAAGACAACAAGAAGTTTGCATCCAAAGTTCAAACGAGAAGACTGATTGAGTCGGAGTCAATTAGGAGTGCGGTTTTTGTATTGGTCTTAAGCCGGGTGTTGGGTGTGGGTGATTGGGGCTTGTAAGGGCGTTGATTTTTTGTGATATGAAGATTGGGGTTTCTCCGATCTTTTTTGTATCTTCTATGTGTAGTGTAGGTTGTAAGGGTTTTAGTTTTAAGGAGTTGGCCATGTATGGGTAGGTTGGGCTGGATGGGTGTTTGTTTCATTTTGTTTGGAATTTTCTTGTTTTGTTTCTTTCTCCTCAGGTGATTGCTTATCACCTTTCCTTGTATCTTCTTTTTGTTTTAATAAAACTTTATTTATCTTCCAAAAAAAGACAGCCAAATCCTTATGTCCGGGAAAGCAGGGGGAGAGGGGTCAGCTATAAGATTATGGAAATAAGAGAGGGAGGAGAACTGGCATGTTGGGGTGAGGGACCAAATTATCTTGTCTTGAGGAAGGAGACAAAAAGGCTTTGGAAATTGAGGAGAGAAGGCAAGAGATGTCCAAGATTTCAGTATCTCTTAAGGATCTACAGAAATTGAAGTTGTAAGAGAGGTTATGGTTAGCCCTAAGGATGGTTGAGAGACAAGGGCTTGTTCTTAAGAAGGGAAGGATTCTGATAGGGGTTTATTACCCCACCATAGATCAGTCCAAAATCTGATTTGATTGCCATTACCCAGTCTAACTCTAATGAAGGGCTTGAAGGCGCTTTGGGTAAGAAGAATACCTTTTCAAACCCAGGGTTTGCAAGAGAGTAGCACGGTAGAGATTGAGGGCTGCCCCTTTCAAGACAGTTTCTTCCATATATTCTATGAACCACTGAAGTCCAAAGAGAACCCTGATCAGTCTTGTACTTTTAAATCCACTTCCGTAGCAGAGCCCTGCAGCTTAGGTGATCCAAGAAATTCCATAGTTGGCAACATTTATATAGATCACAACGGTCATTTTTCCACCTTGTTCTCCGTCTCCATTGGATATGGAGATCCTATTGGTGCAGAACAATGGCTGTGCGCATGGTCTGAGATTTGGAAAATCTCTAAATAATAAATAACATAGTGGTGGAAGGAGACTACAGGGTTGCAATGAAATGGTCAAAAACAATGGTGGAGGTCCTTGGATTCATAGGCATGCAATAAGGAAAGTGAAAAGAATGATCAAAGAACTAAAAGTGAATTTTGTATGGAGACAGATATCAGACAACAGTATGACTGATTGGAAAGACAAGGAGTAAACAGAAGTAACTTTTATTGGGAAGGTGGCTTCCCAAGGAGGGAACTTGTTATTAGGAAGTCAAAACAGCATGTACAGTTGGTAACAGATGTTAAGCAATATGAGGGGAGCTGCATACATTACTGTACATTATTCACCATTCTTTAATTCATGATCAATAAAATGTTTTCGGCTGACAGATCAAAAAATGTGCAAGAAAAAATGCAGCAGGAACATATAGCAGAACCATAGTATTGTACTTTTAAATCTTCTCAATTGTTGTTCAATAGAGATAGAAGAACTGTTGGTCCAAAGTGATATATCCCACCCTTGAGGCCCCAAAAATGAAAGAAAGCTAGAACAATTGTTGTTCAATAAATATAGAAGAACTGTTGGTCTGAAGAGATATATCCTACCCTCGAGGCCCCTAAATTGAAAGATAGCTAGAACAGGTCCTTTAAGATTAAAAGCATCACCAGTCACAAGAAGGAATTGGAAAGTCACATGGAAAGGAGGCTTCATAACATTAGTAATACTAGGAATATCCAGAATGACCACTTTTGCAATTCATATCAAGCTAATTTTGCTTTGCCACATAAAACAGTATTATTTTTAAAATCTATTTTTATTAGACTTTCTTCATAGCAAAGTGGAATACTTCCCCATGCTAAGCACAGGATCATTAGCTGGCATAATACACATAGAGTTACCATTTTCTCAAAAAGATCATTGGAAGTAACAACACCTAAGAACAGTCAATAACAGGAAGACAAGAAAAAAATGTCATGTGGTTCAATTTTTGTTTCTTAGTTGATAAAATTGCCTGTTGCCACCAGGTCATCACTACAGTCAGAAAGGATTAATTATTAGTAGCCTCATTGATGACTGCTGTATCTTACATAGGTTACACCAACTGGAATCACCACCACTTGATATTATCCTTCCTAGACATCCTACTCACCCATGCATGCACCATCATCTTGGTTACATAACTTCAATGGTTGTGTTGTTCATTGTCAAGCATCACTTGTAAAATGATACTTTTTAGCTAACCAAACGATGCAGAACCCCTTCTACTTACCCACACAGGTAAAGTAAGAACAATAAACTAATAGGAGGGAAAGTTGTTAATGGATTTCACATTGCAAAGGCATTGAACAATAAACTCCCTCATTTTAAGTTTTTATAACCAATCACACAAAGAAATGGAAGTCTACAAAAATAACTTAAAAGAGTAATAATTTTGGCCTTAAGATCCAAATAACTAAAACAGAATAGTTATAAGACATTTCCAGAAAGCAAAAGTCAACATTAAAAAGCACAGTTAATGATATAGGATATCAAGACATCGGAAACAACTTACATATTGGCTAATCAACACAATAGCTATATCCTCCTTTGTAGTGAACTCTTTGAATGCATCTTCAATCGCTTTTACAGTTGTTTCTAAAGCATGAATGAAGCTACATGATCAGTTAAAGAATAAGAAATTGACAAATTTCACTCTCAAAATACACAAAAAGGGATCATGTCCAATAATAAGAAATAGTGTAACTTATTTCGGATCCAAACATAACAAGTCTTATTTATGAAAACTTTTTCATTGAAAACCATGAAGTTACCATGAAAAAAGGGGAAGATGTATGTGCAAGCTAAAAACCACAAATCAAGTGCAAACCAGAGAACCCCCTGAATATAGAAGGGGTTCAACTCTACAAAAGTCTAAGATATTAAAAACAGTACAAGGTTCCAAAGAGATTTGGTGTAAGCCTATCCCACCTAAATTAACAGTTTTCTGTTAGGTTATTCATGAGAGGATTAGTACTTTGGGTACCCTTCAAGAAAGGTCACTGGTGTTTCCCCAAATTTGTGTATTCTCTACAAAGCTGGATGTAAAATTTTCTGTCATTTACTAATCTCCTTCCATTTGCTACTTTTATTTGGAAATGGTTCTTTTCTTTGTTTGGGTGCAGGTGGACACTTTCTTCTAATATGGATAGTTTATTTGCTCCAACAAGTTTCTCTTGGCCAAAGAAGAGAAGGTGATGGAGATCATTTTGAGACAGAAGCACCACATAGAATTCGTACTTATTTTAGGCGTAGACGGCATTAGCTTAGAGTTACTTTGCTTAATTGTAATTCGTACTTATTTTGGTGGGGTTTTAAGTGAAACTTTCATATTTGGTAGGGACTTAATTGTAATTTTCAGTTCTAGGTTTCTCATAAATACACATTATGTTAGGGCTGTATGACATTATGTTTTTGAGAAATAGAAAACTTTCATCTTTCGAACTTCCTCTCTTCCTTCTCTTCTTGCCTTCTTTCTTCTACTTTCTTGTAACAGGTGGTGGTTCTGCATCAGAAGGATTATGTGGATGTGTACTAGAGCAGCAATTATTTGAATTTTATGGGAAGAAAGAAATGCAAGAATTTTCAAGGAACAGGAAAGAAGCAAGGCAGCAGTACTCAAGTGTATAACAGTTAGGGTGGTTCATTGGGTTGAATCTTTGGAGGTTTTCTCACTCTTTTTAACAGGAGACATAATAAGTAATTGGAGAATAGTGGTTGGATATTCCTTTAATAAGCCCATAGTTCAAAAGGAATTGACACCACCAGAGGAGGGATTCATAAAAATTAATTTTGACAAATGCGGACTAGGAACCCAGGGGCCATCAAGATTCAAGAGTGGAAGGAGTATTTAGAGATTAGAAGGAACACGTAATGGCTAGGCCCCATTGGAATTGACGACTCCCTAAGAGCAGAAAGAATGGCTGCTGTATTACTCCCTAAGAGCAGAAAGAGAGGATACAACAGGGTGATAAGAAATCACCCAGCAAGAACAAACCCACCTAAAACAAAATTAACCCCTTAAACAGAAAATCAGTCCAACAAACAAACCAATAGACCCTAAGAAATCCAAATCCACATACAACTGCAAAAGCCCCAACAAATATCACGAATACCCCTCCTACCAAACATGAGAAAAGAAAAACAGGAAACTGCAGATCCACCACCCTTCCAATCCCTGCCAAAAAACACAGAAGAAAACACCTCAATCCCCACCAGCCATTTCCGATGAGATATGCAACTCAAGCTTTTGCAAATCCAAACACAGAATGGCTGCTGTATTACAAGGAGTATAGTGTGAGTGAGATGAAGTTAAGAGAATTAGTTATTGAAAGGGATTCACGGGTTGTAATTGGCTGGCTTCTGAATAGTGAGAAAGCCTTGTGGTCCAATAGGCATGTACTCAAGAAGACTAAGTGGCTGACTAGGAACTGTTAAGTGAAAATCAAATGGGTCCAAAGGTCGGCTAATGTTATCCCTGATGCATAAGTCAAGCATGGGAAAGTAAAGGATCAATCATTTTGCGCTCAGTTGTAAAAAGAAATTAAACTAAAGAGGAGGAGAAATGCCTCATTCCTTATGGGTTGCTTGTAAATCTTGTATATAATTACCAGTTATAATAAATTTTTATGGTTACCTATCAAAAAAAAGTACAAGGTTTCAAATTTCAGCAATGATGCTTGGATGTGACAAGCCTCCATACCAGGGAATACTTACATGAACTGCTTATCCAAGCAAGTTCATTGAGTTGTGTACTTGTATCAAATCATATACTGTGCTGCAAATTTGCAGCCTTCATACTTTCTTTTAGTTTTATATCATTAACACCACCTCTGAGGCATATAAAGATGGTTCCTTTCATTCTTTATAAAAGTAGCTAAATCCAATCAAAATAGAGACATAAAACAGATATAAATGCATGGAACCATTAAGTTACATCATAATGTGCCTTAGGTCTCAGCAGCCTGGGCTTCTGATTTCTGCAGGGTGACCCTTGCAGGTATTATGTTGATCTTTTTCCCCTGATGTGCATGAAGAGTTGGGGACAGATTTGACATATTTTTTTAACTGCCCCTAATAATATTTTTTAACACCTAAAGGAAATAGTGGCTTTAGTGCTTGCAACATAATGTTCTGCAGTAAAGGACATTCAAGCTAGTGCAGAATACAAATTTGAATTCCCAATGATAAGTGCCTGCCCACTAATTCTAAGGTTAATAGTTTTTATAGAAAAACAGAACTATCTTTATCAAGACAATAAAAAGAAGAAACATTAAATTGAAACACGCCAAGTAGAGGTCGATGTTTTATAATTTTTTTCTTCTTAGTTGAAATTACACACCGGAAAGCAGGGACAAAAGGAAGGAAAACGTTTTCACCAAAGCAGTTGAGTTCCAGTGATTAAGTGTTAAATCAACAATTTAGATGAGTGAAAAGTAGCCATGAAATAATTAAAATTCTAAAAGAAATACGGAAATACCAATGGTAGGATGTATCGGGATGAATTTAGCAGACCTAACTTCTGTGTAAAGAATCTAATGAGTGAGAATAAATAGGTAAATGAAGAAATCATCCTAACTTTACATCAATTAGCTGGTGCAAAATAGTTGGGCTTGAAGACATATGAATTATCATTTATTGGCAACAGCCATCAGACATCAATTCTTTGCTAGAATAATAAGGCTACCTTTTTTTTTCAATAAGTTACCTATTTAATTCTCTTTTCATGAAAATAAGGTTAGCTATTTAATTCTCCCTTCATGAAAATCCCTAAGCTATTTTTCATAGATCCAGAAATAAATAAATCCAAACATGTTTCTTACTTGATTTTGTTAACTGTATTATTTAATGTCAACCCACTATCAGGGCCCATCTGATTACATGATCAGAAGACTCAACCAACCTTACCCCCTGGCATGACACTTGGTCCAGTCTAGTCAATGGTTTGCACACAATGTGCCATTCATTTCGAAGTCAAGTTAGAAATGCTAAGTAAAAATATTTAAGGAAACAAAAGAAAAGAATAAGAATAAGATAGAAAACCTATGTAAAACAAAATTCAAGAAATTTCTTTCTTTTACTTTTAGCTTCTCCCTAAACAAATTTGAGATGGAGATCAAACATGCTCCAGAAAAAGCTTCTTTTTTCATCTCTTTCTTATGTTACCTCACTTTTCTCCTTTCTTTTCTATAAACTTGCTTGGAAGTTTGATGGCTCTTTTTTTAATCTTTTTAAAATATTTTGCTTCATCTAACCTATTAAGATATGTCTTCAGGGTTTCTAAGCTGTTCATCAATAAATTCAATCGCATAAATGGTTCACAAAGATGATTGAAGTATTTAAAAAAGTAAAGTTTGTGAAGTGAACAGAAAGTTTATCTAGAATTACATTGATAGATAACAGTTACTAATTACTAATTAGGCTGTGTTTCAATTTAAATGGAAGTGGAAAAGCAGCAAGAATTCCATGATTTGGTAGATAATGGAAGAACTAGGCCTCCCAGTCATTCTTTTCCAACAGAAAAGGCTGCATAAAATCCACAAGTTCTTGTGTTCTTCTAGTACATCCAGGGATCCTTTTCTATCCCACCTTTCCACTTCCTCTGTAATCCAAACACAGCATATGAGTTTAGGAATTCTAATGGCCAAATAGGGTATAACATTTGAAGAATAGATAAGGCTCAAAGAGCATTCTTGATTCAACAATAAGGCAGTTTGTCTTTTTAACTCAGATGGTTAAACAATGTATAGCATTGGAAAGATAGAAAAGGTTTAATAGCATACTTGAGTCAACAATAAGGTAGTTTGTCTTTCTCCGCAAGTCAACATTTCCCACACCAGCCAGCAAGAATCCAGTTACTGTGTCCTATATCAGATTAATTATTTGTCAGGTATAATCCAGAGTTTAATACAATGAGTTGTAAATACATCACTGCTTCCATATATGGACAAGACAGAAATACATGATGAATATATGAAAAATACAGTCTGATAATGCCTTAACTAGTCTACCAAAGCCCATTATGGAATAATACCCATAGATTTAAAACCTGCAAAGCAAAGGCATTCAGTTTACTTAACTAAAAAGGAAATCTAAGCACAAACTAAGAACCCAAGAAGAGTCAACTATAACATTTCAGCATACATGACATTATATGCAAGAGATATAACTTACTATTTAATGGTCCTAACAAAGGAGACTTACTAACCAAATAAACAATCAGACTAGATGGTCATAAGACTCATAACCCAGACATCAGAAGATTGTGAAAAATGACTCTAGTGGGATATGACATTTGTCTAACTTCATTAGAAGTCTTCTCCATAGCTTCTTCATTGAACATCCCAGTCATGTAGACATGAAGGGTACCAATGACATTGCCAACAGTTTAGATAAAGGTGAAGACCGAAAAAGTTACCCAAGCAGAGTTTCATTTGGGTTCTTGTTATGTCTGCTCTTCTATTTTCGAAAGTTCTTCCCCATCAACATTAGTATTGTCAATATGAAGGTTAGGGCTCTACAATGTGTTTTTCATTCTCTTACAAGATTCTCTTGCTAAATCTTCATAGTCTGGGCAATGTGGTTATTTTGACCAACTCTCTTTCGCCAATGACCATTCTTTTTCTTCTCTTTGTATATATTCCTTATTCTCCTAATTAACAAAATAACTATACTCATTAAACCAACAGAAAAAAGAAAATTGGTGAAAAAAGGAAATAGAATCCCATACCCATTAGTGAAAGGCAGTTGTAAAATGGACTGCAGTGGAGGCTGGTAAAAATAAAGCTCAACTTTGAGAGCAGCTGTCCTGAAAATCCAGGTCAGCCAGGTGTAAGTGGAATTTTTAGGGATCACAAGTTTTCAAGGACAGCAGGGGAAAATAATAGCTAGGGAAGAACTTGTTCTTGTTCAATACTTAAAGTTAGTATATGCCTTGCAGCCTTGGATAAGAATGGATTGATTGCAGAGGGAGATTGCGAAGTGGTGACTGGCTGCCCATAAACCATTAGATACTTATTAAGAGAGGCAAAGACATGGACTTGCGATTGGAACTGCTTGTTCAGCTAGATACCTAGATCAGTCAACAACATTGCTGATACAATAACAAGGACAAGGGGCTCTTATGTAGTTTCTGGACATGTCAGCCTCTTCCGTTGTACTTGCTCCCTCACTTCATTTTTCTGAAGTGTGGGGTTCCTATGATAAATTAATGAAATGACACTGTTGACGAGCCCCAGAAAAATAAATAAATAAATAAATAAGCCCATACCCTGGTACCATCACATAATTCCTAAATTCTAACTTCTTAAACATTGAGAATTCAGGATGTTACTTAACTTCCTTACCATAATCATGGAGTAAGGAATAAGGATCATATCATCCCGTATCATCACTGCTGTTAGAGATCAAATTACCAATAAAAGAAGACATGGAAAAGCAAGCAAAGCTTTCAAGTTTTCAAAATAAAAAGATACTGAGTAGTGAGTACAAACTGCTTTCTAACAGATAATTAGAGAATTAAAGCATATAAAGTAACTATGACATTCATACCTCATCAGCAATCATGGCAATTAGTGCTGAGTTGCAAGTGGGAATCTGACTTCTATTTGCCATCTAAAGTTGAATACAGACAACTGCATAAGGGGCAAGTGGTTACAGTATCAATAATTAAAATGTCCATGGGTCCTATTACCATATAAAACTTCACTAGCATCTCAGAATAAGAAAAACTTAAAATGAAAACATTGCAGAAAAACACTAATGAACCAGTTCTGAATACTTAAAGTATCTTCATGATGCCATCTATTTGATCAGATAGGTAGAAAGTTAAATCCTAATGTCTGAAAAAAATGCCATGTCAATGATTGATATGCCATCTGATAGATCTGGGAACAAAACCAATCAGTCTTTCCCAGACATTTTCATGAAAGCCATGTTGTATTTCTTTATGAAATTCCCTACTCCAGATCGTATGGTATATTGGAATAAGGATCAATAATTGAAGATCATAACACTTAATGCCATCCTTTAAGCCCCATTAGCAACCCATGCAAACTATTAAGATGTGGCTACCTATTATGTTGCAGATTGAGGAAAATTCCTTCCAATAACAAGTCACTAATTAAATTCTCCCCCTCTTCCCACACATATACAGTGAGGCTTGTTTGCTGAATCTCTGACAGGCAGCTAAGTTATGTGGTCCTTTTTCAATGATATAAAAAAAAAAAAAAAATCCATTAAAAAAGTAACCAGAGTTGGATAAACTTCAGCACAATCCATTGCATAAGATAGGAACCAAAAATTTTTTTCTGTATCCTTCTTTTTCTTAACTAGTTGGCAATCATCAAAGTTATGAGAACAAGTTCTTCTCAAGGTTGCACTGGGATCACCATTACCCCCCCCCCCCTCGAAAACAATTTAATGCAGTTAATGCGGTTATTCTAAATCGTACAGAAGATTCAAAGACAAACCCGTATTGCTACAACATGATTAAACCTTTGTGACAGTGAAAGTGAGGAAAACCAGCTGAAACAAAGCAATTAGAACAAAAAAATATATATAATCCATAGAAAAAGGAACCAGAGTCGGATAGACTTATTAAGCTCCATTACGTAAGATAGACGCCTAAAATCTTTTTCAATACCCTTCTTTTTCTTAACTAGTTAGCCATAAACTTCGAACTTCTATAATCTATTACCGGGAAAAAAATCTCCTACAATCAAACAATTCCAATTCGAATTCTTAAAAATTCGAAAAAAGACTTGGAAGTTATTGGCACAAATCCTTCTCACAGATTGTACTGGGATCACCATTACCCCCGAAACAATTTAACGTAGTTCATACGGTTATACAGAAGTTTCAGAGAGAAACACATATTGCTACAACATGATTAAACCTTTGCGGCAGTGAAAGTGAGGAAAACCAGCTGAAACAAAGCAATTAAACCAAAACAACAGACAGTTACGCCGCAAAAAGAAACAGATTACAGATTTACAGTAACAAAGAAAGCCTGCTGAAATCAACAAATTAGGAAGTAAAACTGAAAAACATAAAAATTGAATTCCACCAATTTAGCAGTGCACGAATCGATCGATTGATTTCTGCAGCAGAATCTCAAATATCGGTTCTTTGTACAGATTAGTTTTACGTCTTTATCCCACAATTTCTGAAAAAAAGAAAAAGAAAAAAAAAACAAGATGAAAGAAAGTTCGCAGAAGCGAAACAACGAACCTCTGCCTCTTTTGTTTTCCCTTCTGTTTCTTCTCCCTTGGATCGAGCGTCGTATCACGTATGTGAGAGGAGAGGACAGAGAGATCGATGTCCTTTTCTTAGTTCTTTCTCTCCCTCGATTAATAAGCAAAACGGGCAGTCTGATAACGGCTGAAATGACTGGATCGAATGACTTATTGTGGGTGACTCGGATCGGAAGGTGTTCACGGTCTGCTCAGTTTGGTTTCGAGAACATATTAGATCAACCCCAAAAGTTATGGTATGACTGTAAGAGAAATTTTCAGATTAGATCAAACCGTTTTAGTACAAAGATGAGAGCCGGGGTTTCTAATTACAATTTGGGAATCTAAAAGCAATGTTTTCTAACCGTCAATGACCCTGACGGTCGGACCGTTTGGCCTGGGAACCGCCCAAGCAACCGATTTCATTTTATCCCCAGCCCGGTCCCTGGCCAAAGACTGTTGAATTGGTTAATGACCCATTAACCCGACTGGTTGAATTGTTGACTCATTCAATGTTTTTTGGTCGTTTTTTGTTTTGACTATTTTTTAATTTTTTTTGTCAAAAAGAGTCGTTCATTCAAATCGGACAGTTAAACCATCAACCCATAAATCGGTGGCTAGAATGGGGTTCTAGTTCCGAGTCATTTTTTAAAACATTGTCTAAAAGAGTTAATAGACAAATTAGTCAGATTTTATTTTACTTTTTTTTTTTGCTGAAGGTTCTATTTGTTCAATTGTTTTGTTTCATTGGGTATGTAATGGTTGATTAGTTTCAAATCTTATTAGGGTAAATAATAGGAGTGAGCAAGAAAAATCGAAAATACAAACCAAACCAGAAAACCAACTAAAATTGAATAAAAAATCTGGTTAACCGGTTCAGTATTTTTAAAAAACCAAAGGTACCAGTTCGGTTTCAGATAACCAATATAGAAAACTGGTGGTTAACCAAACCAATCGGTATACATATAATTCTATATTTTAGGTATATATATATTATAAATTAATAAATATGCATTATATATAAATATATATATATATATTTATAATATATTATTTATTATTTAAGATATAATATTTTTATATATTTCTAATTTTTTATTATATCTTTATATATTTTTTATAATATATATTGTAAATATAAAAAAACCAAAAAAAATGACAAACCGAACCGATGGTTAACTGAACCGGTCAACCAATTAACCAATCAGCTTTGATTCGATTTCAGTTACTAGTTTTCATAAACCGATGACACAGGTTCTGACGCAGCGTGGAAGCAATGAGAACCGGAGTTGGCTATGCAAGCAATGGGCGTTCGCCAGCACCTAGCGAATAACACGACTTCTCTAGGAGAGAGAAAATGTGGCGAAAATAGGAAGAAGAGAACTTGAAGAAATTCTGAAATCTGAAGTATGAAATTTTTTGATGAATAACTTTGGGAAAATAGCAGTATTTATAATACATTTGGGAATTGTAAAAGAACTAGGAAAGAACATGAGTCTTGATCTTGATCTTGATCTTCTTGGGCTGTCTTGATAAGGTCGAACCCTCTTGGAATTCTTAGGCTTGATCTTCCACCGTCTGATCTCCCTGGTTCTCCTTATGCATGAATCTGGGAGTCTTGGATTTCTTGATGCTTCTTGGAGTCTTTGTTGGATCTTGATTGGAGTCTTGAATTCTTGCTAATCTTGGAAGAGTCTTGATGGATCTTGAATTATCCTTTCTTGGCTTATCTTGGACTCTTGGCCTTATCCTAGGAGCTACCGCCCCTAGGAGTGAGATGGGCCTTGGGATGGGCCTCCACCAGGTTCAGTTCAAAAAATAAGCATACAATTGGATTAACCAAACCGTGAGCACCCCTAGTAAATAATAGACTAAAAATATGGTCTGAAAAAAATTCTTAAACCAAATCAAACCACCGATTTCAGTATGGTTCAATGAGAGCAATTGAAGCATATAATGAACACCCCTAATCAAAACAATGCATCGGGAGTATAGACATAGTATTTCATCTAATAGAAATCCAAGTCTTTTTCAGTTTTTTTTTTTTTTGTACAAGTGAATCCAAATAAATTTGTGGGTAAATTACAAAGGCCATGGGTACTATGGTGTTAGTGAAACTTACACCCCTAAACTTTCATTTGTGACAAAGACCCCCTGAACTTTCATTTTACAACAAATATCCCTTATGTTAGAATTCTGCTAGTTAACTTTGAAAAATGATTCGCAATCAGCTGTTAAAATTTTTTAAATCCCCAAACTACCATTTTCTTATTTATTTGAACAATTGTGATTCTATTAGTTTTCTAAATATAATATTGAAGTCCTCTTGGTTGCTATAATAGATCCTTTCAGATTTCTATGTAAATTCAATATTCAAATGAAATTGTAAAGGTTTATTTCTGATAGATATAAATTTAAGGTCCCGTTTGGTTTTTCTTGATTTGTTGGAGAAATGAGTGGATAACTTTTATATTTTAAGAAGAAGAGAGACATTCATGCCATTGAAATGAAAGAAGAATTTAAAGAAACTTGCTTTCTATGTTAGTGAAATGATTATTGTTATTTTAGCTTGTTCCATTTAGAAAAAAAATTGGAGGTATTTTTGAGTCAATTAGGATTTTAGAGAAAAGGGTAAGGAATAGAAAATAAGGAAAATTCAGATGGATGTTTTGGCAATTTAATGCATTATGTCATTTGACTAAGGGATGCAAACCGACATTGTTCATGTCGGATCCGATCCGATCCGAAGATCTGACTGGATCTGATAGGAATCAATTTGAATTTGAATTCTATTGGTAAGTTGGATCTTTGGATATGATCTGATCCGACTTGTTTTTTTTTTAATTAATAAATTATTAAAAGAAAATTAAAATATACTAATTTAAATATAGTAAAAACAAAAAATATAAGTATTTTTTAATTGTTTTCATCATATATATACATATTTTTATAGTAAATAAATAATATAACAAATTTATAAAAATATAATATAAAAATATATTTATAAATATACAATATATATCAGATCAAATCTTCTCAGATCGGATAGGGGTGAGCCAAATCTGACCTGAAGATTCGAACAAGAGTTATCCAAATTCGACCAAATAGGATTGGATCAACCATTTGCACCCCTAATCTGATTTGATGACGAAGGGTATTTATGGCAAAGTGAAAGTTCAAGGGATATTTGTCGCAAATGAAAATTCAAAGACATTGACCCCATAGTACAAGGGGATCGTAGTAATATACCCTAAATTTTATACAAATCCCCCATTATTAAGATTTTAACTTTTAATAAAGAAAAGCAATTTAACAAGGGACGAGACAATGATGGGGCATCATGCTAATTTTGGGCAGCAAATCCTTTCCCACAAAATTGTCACCACCTTCCTCCTACTTCACCTCTATTTTCTTTCATAAAAGGTGGTAGAGACGACATCATTTTGTTTTCTATTTTGTTTCTCACAAAATAAAAGTAAATCAGAATTTAATTACACCCAACCTCTTTGCACTCTCATGCATATAGCTGAATTCAATTTGATATCTGACTAATATTGAAAATCAATGTTTATATTTGTATTTGTATTTGATTAAATATTTGAATATTCAATTTGGTTCGAATTTGACCAATTAATCATTTTAGGTAATTAATAAATATAAAATAAATATTTTATTTTATAAAGTATATAAATTATTTATATATTTTACATATTATATATATATTATACAATATTTAAATATTTTATATATTACATTAACCGGTTCAATTTAGATATTTATCAAATCGAATTAAGTCATATCTGAATCGATTTGATTATATATCAAAACTTGAATTCAAAATCGAATTTTCGAATATCATTGACACCCCATATACCCTATATATAAGATGTCATAAAAACATAAAATGGACTTTCAAAAGGTCTTTTTTTTTTAATTTATATGTGATACATAAGATCCCCACAATCACTACTTAACTCATGCCATTCTTGCTAATATCCCAAGGCGCATGCATATTCCTCAACCTATTAGATGGTAAATGTTTTGAAGGATGTCCCATACGGCCATACTTGAAAGGCTAAAAAATACATTATTGGAACGATGGTTGGCACAAGAGGTTTTGTCAGGTGCCATGATTAAATGAGATCGACTTCAGTCAGTGCAAGACCCGTTCGAACAGCCTTACATTTGGAATATCTTCGTACTTATGTGCTTTATTTCATGGGTAGATATTCCCAAGGCTATAAAAGTTGTTTGAATTAGCTTCACACTTACTGAATCCAATTTCTGAACAAAAGAAGTAAAGAGGTAGTAGCCAAATCAGCCCCTCACAACATCCCACACCACATCTCCACCATGTATTGGGAATATTTCCTGATGATGACATCATCATTCCTAATATTATCGTTGGGAGATGTTCCCAATACATGGTTGGTATGTGCTGTGGGATGTTGTAGGGGGTTGATTTGAACTCGACAAAGAGGGCAAAAGAGGTACCAGCCTTTTGATGAGTGGGGTAGAAAGAAAGTGAGAAACTGTGATGTTGAAAATGTTATTTTTATGTATATGGAGAAAATAAGTCATGTGTAACAGAATAGATGTCAGTTGGGAGGACACCACAAGAGTACAACACTGAACAGATGATCTTATTCGAATTCGGATTCAGTCCTCACAGCCCCTTTTCTGTACATTGGGAATATCTCCCTATGAATAAAAACCTGCTGCAAAAGGCTGTGAGACGATGTAAAGACGGTTTTGTGAGGACTTCAAATTCATCCTAAATGACTAAAATTCAGGGGACATAAAAGTTGAGCTAGGCTCTACTGAAAGCAAAAACTCTGAGAATATGGAATCCAACTGTTGGATTTTAATCTCAAAAGAGATTAAATCCAATGGGTTTGATTGGTCAATTACATGAGAAATTGCACCTACACACTTGTTTGAAAAATTAGATTTTCTCTTACAAAACCCAGTTTTGAACTTGTCCCACATTGGAAAATTATAAGTTTTGTTTTCAGTATTTTAATAGGAGCTGATTTACACTCCTTAGAAATAGTAGAGGAGAGTATGGGGGTTTGATACCGCACAACGCGCACACACGATGCAACGAGGTGCTTTAGAGGCGCACTTTGCTCGTGTTACTTTGGTTTTGGTGCGATGCTGACCATTGATCACTGTTGATGAGATCAACGGTCATGATTCGATCGGGTGTGATCAAGAGGCACAATTCAAAATTAACTACCTTTTAAACAGTCACAATTGTGACTGTTCAAGGTGCCTTGTCTGGACCAACACCTACCTTTTCCTCATACCTCTTCATAAACTATTTAAGAAGCATGAATCAAACTTCAAAAACACACATTTTTGAAATCCACTTTCTCTCTCTCTCTCTCAGTCCGGTTTGCTACAGTCTCACAGAAGGTTTCTTCGGAGATTCTTCAACTTTACTGGTTACAGATTCTCGCCCAAGGCTCTGTTGTATCATGGGAACGGATTTGCCTGTAACCCAACGACAAACTCAGTGAAACTGAGTGGGGGCAAATAACATTCTAAAGACAATGTTTTCAGACGCGCCTCAGAGCTTCTCCTCCAAAGTTACAGTGACCCCATTTCCCAATACCAACTGCACATGAGGAATATCTCATGTACATGTATGTTCTCAATGTATAGTTGGATGTCCATGCATGCAGTGTATGCAAGGGGCTTTGCTTTCAAATGATGGCATTAAAGGTTACCCTCTTTTTCTTTTTGTAAAGGAGTTTAAACTTTCACAGTAGTCACTGAGTCGCACAAAGTATTCTAAGTTACAAACTATGGACAACAGCCCATGAAGGTTTAGTTTTTATTCCCTTAACTTTCATCACGTCTCTCACCATCTCCACATCTCCCCATCTTTCTGCTAATGCATAAACGTTTGACAAAGCTATGTAGTCTTCACATGCAGAAAACGATTTGTTTAATAATCCTGGCTGCAACTGCAGCAACAACTTCCCAACCTTTTCACCCATTGCGACATTGCCATGAACCCGGCATGCTGCTAGCAGACTCCTCCACAAGATAGCATCAGGTTTCACTGGCATTTGGATTATAAACTCATAAGCTTCTTGCAGGCGACCAGCACGGCCGAGGAGGTCTACAACACAACCATAGTGTTGAATCTGGGGTGTAATGCCAAAATCTCTGCTCATAGTATGGAAGAGGCGGAGCCCTTCTTCAACAAGGCCTGCGTGACAGCATGCAAACAGTAGACATGTGAAGGTGACTGCATTTGGTCTTGTGCCCTGAGCCTCCATTGCGCCCAATAGCTCCAGGGCTTCTTTTCCTCGTCCATGCATGGCTAGCCCCGCCATCATTGCTGTCCAGGTTAATACATTCTTCTCACTCATGCTCTTGAACACACTCACTGCACTAGTCAGGCACCCACATTTGGAGTACATGTCGATCATCCCTGTCCCAATGAAGACATCATCCTCCGGCACGTAAATTGTCTTTTGGATATACCCATGAACACAGCTCCCCAACTCTAGAACACCCAGATGAGAGCATGCCAAGAGCGCACCGACGATGGTTATTTCTGTTGGTTTTACCATACAACCATCCAAGAGCAGGTTGCAGAATAATACCAGTGCCTCCTTTGCATGGTCTTTAGTTTTTGTTCTTTGCCAACAATATCCCATTATCATGGCATTCCAAGAAGCACTGCTTCTCAGAGGCATCTCATCGAACATTTGCCGTGCTGAGCTAATATCCCCATTTCTTGCATAAAAATGCATACCAGTTGTTTGCACGATGAGATCTGATGTGAATCCACCCTTGACAATCCGAGCATGTATCTGCTTTCCTTCAAGCAATGCAGAAGACGATGAGCGGGCACATGCTCCAAGTGCATATACATAGGTGTAACTGTCGAATACTAAGTCTTTATTTGTGGTTGCATCAGCAAAGAGAACAATTGCTTTCTCAGGAGGCATGCAACGGATCACAACATTCAATATGAAGACATTTGGCTCCTCTGTGTGGTGAAAGATGAGACGGGCATGGTCAAGGCCGTCCGGGGTCGATATCGCACAATAACGTTCTACCAATTTCCCCATTACAGAAGGGGCTGTCCGACAATTAAGACCACCAGTAATTAGCTGGGCGTGAATCTGTTCAAGTTGATCTATACCCATCCATCCTCGCTGTAAGAGCGAGAGGCATCTTAGTCTTGGAAGCAACAGCATATGGAGAGAGGGCATTCTTGAGGCGGCATTCTAAATATAACATTTGGAAGAATAGATAAGGCTCAAGAGCATTCTTGAGTCAAAAGTAAAGCAGTTTGTCTTTTTTAATTCTAATGCCTAAAGAGTGTATCACATTGGAATAATAGACAAGGTTTAACAGCACACTTGAGTCAACAATAAGGTAGTTTGTCCTATATCAGATTAATTATTTATCAGCTATGATCCAGACATTAGTACAATGAGTTGTAAATACATCACATATATGGATAAAACAAAATAATAAATACATGATGAATATATGAAAAATACAGTTTTGATATTTCCTTTAACCAATCTACTACAAAGCCTCTTTATAAAAAGAAAAAAAAAACTACTACCTAAGCCCATTTTGGAATAATACCTATAAAGTTTTTTTATCAGTAATAATATTAATACCCATAGACTAGGGGTGCAATTTTTGCGGATTAGAGTTAATTAACATTTTGTCAAAGTTTCAATGCACCCAACCCGAAGCGAAACAGTATAAATTATTGACTCATGCCAATCCGACTTGCACCCTACTATAGAGTAAAAGACCACAATGGCATTCAGTTTACAAAAAAAAGGAGATCTAAGCACTGATTAAGAAGCAATGGAAAGGGAGTCTTAGCCTGGCCTGGCTTGGGGGTGATATATATATATATATATATATATATATATATATATATATATATATATATATATATACTCAGTGACACTCTTTTAAGGCACACCTTAGTTAACTTGACCATGGAAGTAACCATCCTTAAGATTATGGTTTTCAAAACCAGATCGGACCAGTTGGTTGAACCAAAAAATTGGGAATCGGTTAGGTGATTGGTTCTATTTTTCCCCTAAAACTAGATTTTGATCAACAAACCGCTGAACCAAATGATTAACCGTTCAAACGGTTTTGACCGTTTTTTTTATTTTTTAATTTTTTTGTTAGAATGGGCCGAGCATTCAGTTCGAACAATCAGACCATTCGATGCAATAACCGGACCCTGACTGGTTTGATGTCTGAATCGGTTTTAAAAACCATGCTTAAGATCACATTCAGGGCTTCTGACATCTTTTTGTGTTTGTAGAGGACTTTTCAATTTTAAATCTGACAACCACAACATCCATAAGAGAACGAGACAGGACCATTAGACTCTGACACCGGCATTCTATTGTCAAAGCTCTCATTGTGAAACCTCTTCACTTTCCATCTGTTGGAAACCCTTTCCAAAGTATCATTACACACAAGGGCTATAAGCAGAGAGAAAAACAAATAATTAATTGATTATGGAAGCAACTAAGAGTTGGGAAACCTCTAACCATGGAAGAAGTGCACCACCATGTGGACGTTTGCGACCGATGCGTTTTACAACCGTTCCATTTCTGGGTACCGATTTATAAGTGATTGGTTTCATTTGTTTTTTGAGAAACACAAAAAACGAGATATAGGTTGACTGAACGTTTAAAGTGTTTTAGCTTAATATTATAATATATTTATAATGACAAATTTTTTACATTTCTTGAATTAAGGCAATTCAAGAAATGAAAATTTAGCGTTTTAAAAAATTCTTCATTATTTTTAAAAACAGGACTACTAATTACCGTTTTTTATCGATTTCATTTATTCGCTGATATAACATGTATGGAAAAACGAAACGGTCATGAAACACACCAAATCCCAAGCAACTTGCATAATTGTCACCAAATCCTAGTCAATCACCAGAAACCACAACATACTAACATAAATTAGAGCCACAAGGAAGATTAAATTGATTGATGTACTAAATAGTTAAGCACTATTCTCTATGCACAAACCATTGAGCAATAAATAGCACGAGCATGTTAGGATGACTAGCCATCGTGAAAATGGTCAATAAAACTCATAAATGTTTAGACCTCCAAGAGGATTTGGATTTGTTTGTAGGAATAACTCACGATTACTAATAAAACAAGATAAAAGTAATACAAAGCCAACCAATCTACGGAAATTAAATTTTGACTCCCAATGCATGTGCTGGATATTTGAAAAGACTAATGTTTAATTAAATTAAATGTAGGTCAATTTCAGAATACTGCTTATATTTGGTACAATGGGCGTTTCTTAAGGGGAATTTATCAGATAAATGTTTTCTGTTATTACTGTTTGGTAAAAAGTTTGGATGGGCATTTTAAGAAATGGCCATGAGATGCCTCATAAAGGCACTTTCCAACTCAGGGTCAACGATGGGAAGAAGAGCGCAAATGGTCAGTGAACGGGGGAGACTTGCGGGAAGAAGTAATAGGTCTGAAAAAAAAAATTAATATGAACTAGCTTACCAGAAGAAAACGAAAAGAGTAGAGGGTCCTAGGGTCAACGATGGTCTTACCGGCGCCAACGAACGGGAGAACTGGTAGATTTCAGGATCGACGGCGGGAAGAAGACTGCAAATGGTTTGTGAATAGGGGAGACTTGTAGGAATAAGTAATAGATCTACAAAAGAATTTAAAAAAAAATGTTAAATATGAACCAACTTACTAGAAGAAAACGGAAATAGTAGAGGGTCTCAGGGTCAACGGTGGTCTTATCGACATCAACCAATGGGAGAAGAGTAGATGATTAAGTATCTCCTGCCCACATACACATGAAAAACATTTCATCTTCTGCATAGTATTATGCAAGGGGAGATGTTCCAAATTTATAAGGGGGTAATGTGCTGTGGGTAGAGGTGGGTAGAGTTCTTATGGGCAGGAGATCCGGAGTCAGTAGATAGCGGCGATAGTTTTCTCTTTAGACGAAATGATGGTTTGCAATGCATCGGATCAACCACCTCAAGCCACCACATCGGCATCCATGTCAACGCCACATCAGCCACATGTTTCGGGAAATGCCAGACTGTTAGGGGAAGCGAGAATCTGTTGTTTCCCCCAACTGCTTTTACCGTTTCTTCAATAAACTGGTGAACGAAACATTGGCTCAAGGCTCAATAAACACCCACGCCTATCTGTCGCAGATGTGATAGCGTTTTTCCAAGAAACTCCTACAAACCAAACATGCACTCTGTTTTTTCAAATGCAATGCCAAGCATAGATAAGCATTGGTACACGGAATTCCTAGTATTCAATGAAATTGAAAGAAACTTTGATTAGTTTATACGGATTTCAATTAGGAAGAATTGTTGCACAATACTACCCGATTCAAAATCAACAATGGCGACAACTATCTATAAAGTACTACCGTCTACAATCCTGAAAACATCCACTGCAAAATAAAATTTAGGAAATAGAGAAATACGTAAGAATTAAACACAAAACCTTAGGCTGTGTTTGGTTTGAAGGAAAAAAGTAGAGGTTTCTCTACCTTTCCCTTCCTTTTTCTACTTTTTCCCTCAAACCAAACATAACCTTAAAGAATAACCTCACAACCGAACATAACAAAGGATGAAAGCCAAACATAGAATTACGCCATAACTATCTGGCATCCTATAACAAAACCTTAACGAATATGCTAATAATATGCACAAAACTAAATCCCCAATCTTAGCCAGGATATTTTCTTCAACAATAACCCAAAACACCATTAAAGCTGCTGATAAGAAAAATAAAAACCATTGAAAAGCTATTTAAGAATCCAATACAGCTTTCAAGACCATTAGAGCCTACTTGTTATAATCTTGCTTGGTTTAAAAAAGAAAAACTTACTCTTGGTTCTGACCTTGCAGAGCTTCCCATCGAGGATGAGGGTGTCTGCGTCATTAGCTCCGGTGGACAAACCTCGAGCAGAGAAGAGGGAAAGGAGGGATTTCTAAGTGTGGAAGAAGCTATAAGATTGATCCCTCTGCTGATGAAGTGCCCATTCAGATTCAATGTCACCAGGTCAAGCCCAAATGTCCCAGCAATGGAACCCAAGTTGAGCCTGCTCTTCCAACACCACGAATGACACCAGCTTACAGGGTGTTTGGTTCCGTTTACGTTTATTCAGTAAACATTTTGTACTTGTGTGATTGCAAAACTGAAAAATACATTTAATGAAGGTGTTTATGATACATAGGTGTCATTAGGCACCACATCAGCAAAATACCAATAAACGCCTACCCGTTTCAGGAAGCTCCAAAATGAAGCTTCCTGAAGCAGGAGAGACACAGAACTTGCAAACTTCGACACACACAAATGTAATTAATGAGGCATTTGCTGATGGGGCACCTATGTGGCACATTCAATAAACGTTTATTCAATAAACATAAATGGAACCAAACATATACTCAGACAAAGATGGGCAGAAAAGCTTGATCGCTTTACTCCTTTAGGCATCTCGTGAAATGTGCATTAATCGTTCTTGCCAGGTCCTTTGCGTGATAAGGCTGCATTTGGCATTCTGCATTCATGACTTATCTCCTTTTTGCTGCCTTAAAATAAGGAATGCCAAATGCAGCCCAAGTCCCTTACCCTACCCTTAAGTTTTAGCAAATCTTAAAAACATCCTTAATTCCCTACTATTGTTTGCAAATTGCAAAATCCATCTCTATATAAAAACCTCCTCTGAGGTTTCTCACAATCATAAAAAGTTATCTTATGATTTTATTTTTACAAAAAAAAACCTCCCCATAGTATTGAAAAAACCCGCAATTACCTCCCTTTTTTGTTATTGTATGGAAACATTGAAAAAGTGAATGGGTACATGTTCATCTGCAAGTAAAGGGTTCATATATAAGTTAATATTATATAATCAAATTTAACTTTTATGACTAGTTCCAAAACCAAGTCAAGTATTCATTTTATATAGCATAGATAAATTGGATTATAAATCCAAATGAAAGATAGAAGTAGAAAACATAAATAAGAAATTCAAACCCAATCACCCACTCCATCCCAAATTAAGCGTGCACAAGCACCTACCCAAGATGTATTGGGCCTCTCACTCAGGCTAAGTTTAGGTTGGAAAACTTGAGCCCTCACCTTGGATTTGTATGAGGCAAGGTCAATGTAATCAAACCCATATGGTTGGGATAAGGCTTAGATGA